TTAAAACTTACAATGATTGATGGGAAAGTTGGAAATGCCATTACAGGAACATCATCTACTTGGTACTGCTACATATGTGGTGATAAAAAATCAGAATTTTCGAATATTCCAAGCAAAAGTCAATAAATGAGGAAACATTACAATTTGGAATATCCCCCCTACATGCTCGCATACGATTTCTGGAACATTTTCTACATTTAGCATATGATTTAAAGTACAGAAGCATACCGGAAAATGCAAACAAAAGTGCAAATAACAATAAGGAGTTAAGGGAAATGAGAGCCAGTGAGAAAAGAATTCAAGAGGAATTTAAAAAGCGGATGGGATTAAATATTGATAAACCACTCACAGGATATGGAAGCACAAACGATGGTAATACCGCTAGACGTTTTTTTAAACATTTTGAAACTACTTCCGAAATAACCGGAATTAATATGGATTTACTGCAAAAGGTCAATATTATTCTAATGGCGATAAAAAGCAAGCATAAAGTGAACGCAACAAAATTTGGAGAGTATTCTACAAAAGTTTCTAAATTACTTTTGGAATTATATCCCTGGAAAGAAATGACACCTACAGTTCACAAGATATTATGTCATGGAAAGGTCATCATAGAACATAATATTCTGCCTTTAGGAGAGCTTACAGAAGAACCCCAAGAATCGAGGAATAGAGACTTTAAGCATATTCATCAGTTTAGCTCAAGGAAGTGTTCTAGGCAGTCTCAAAATGAAGATATTTTTAATAATCTGATTCTATCTTCTGATCCTGTTTTATCTACTATAAGGAAACGTTGGATTTGCTACAAAACGTTAGCATTTGAAAATATTCATGAATTTAAAGATTTACTTTATCTTTTAGATATGGACTACTGTGATACCGATTATTTTACAAAATTATATTAATTTATAAAAAAATAAATAAAGACTATTTTTATATAAAATAAATACTTGTTAATTTTTTTAGGGATAAAGAATAAAAGATTAATCGTAAAAAGTGGCTGTAAAAATTCATAAAAATTTAGGTAGTAAAAAATGCCTAACAAATATATGGATGAAAATAATAGTACTAGGTAAATTCTCTAAAAGATGTTGAGTTTTCCCTAATTAATTTGTCACTTAAAAAACATTAGGTAGGCATGTTATATATCAATGGAAAGGTAATTTTGTCTATTTTTCAAAACTGTATATAATTTTTGTTAAAAAATTCGCGGAATACTTTTAAAAAAAAAAAAATTAAAAAATGTTTTTTATTCAGTTTTTGCTAAGATACAAATTTTTCAAATTGCAATAAAAATTTTATTTATGAATATTTTTTGATGAAATTTTACAGTTAGGTAGATTTTTTTACTCAAAATCCAAAATTAAATAAAAATTTCGAATTTTCTTATTAGAAATCCCGGAATTCCCAAAAAAGTTTAAAAAAATCCCAAAAATGAGATTTTTTGGTTTTTTGCCTATTATATCCATACCAGGGGCGGGGTTATCGAAACCCGTTACAAAATGATTAAGAACATATTGGGTCATATAAAACAGGTCACTATAATTTGATATCGACTATGCGATTTGAGAATTTTTGCTCAAAATTGAATTTTCCATAAAAAAATAGGGTTTTTTTGGATGGACCTGGTCCCCTCGGTATCAACAATTTTTAGGTTTTGTTTCATTTATCGTATTTTATGTAAAGTCAGCTTTCCAAAAAGTATAAATTCTATATACATCTTCTTAGAAACTTTTTAGATAACTTAAAAAGAAAAAGTTACTTTTTTCCCAAAAAATGGCAGAAAATCGCCTTTTTTTAATTTTTTCAATTAAAATTCCTATAACTTTGGACTCAGTCATGATTTTTACATAATTCTTTCACTGCTGGATATATAAACTTGTTGTTTAGCGAATAAAAAAAATGGCGAAAATCGGGAATATTTTGACCCGCTATTATCAAAAAACTAAAGTAAGGACGGTAAAAATTTTAATTTTCAAATGCGAATATCTCCTAAACTATAACAGATAATTTACTGCTACGACATTTTTTATAGTGCTCGATGAGGAGATTCTATATACGAAATTTTTTTTAAATCGGAACTCAAATGAAGAAATAGGATCGTTTTAAAAATTTAACATAGCCGAGGTGTCCTAATTTGAGGACCCCCTGCCGGGCCCCTGGTTGGCCTATAAGGTCCAAATTCAAAACCTAAACTCGACAACACCTCCTCTTTGTGCATACCAAATTTCATTAAAATCGGATTAACCGTTTAGAAGTAATTTTGGAGAAAAAATTAGTTAATATACAATTTATAACAAATCAATGTAAAACAAGTAAGAGTGCTATATTCGTCTGTGCCGAATCTTATATACCCTTCACCATAGTGTATTTAAAAAATATGTATAAATTTTATAAAATTTAAATTTATGTACCTATTTAATTTTCCCGATTATATCATTATTATAGCAATAGCAAAACAAAATGAACAAAATACACTTTACTGAGTAAAACCAACAGACATCAAACATACGAAACTGTTCACCAACAAACAAAAACAATATACACAAGGCAATGAAACACACAGCCATCCAAACATACAAAACTGAATACACCAAGAAACAAAAACAATATACACAAGGCAATGAAACACACAGCCATCCAAACATACGAAACGAAATACTCGAAAAAAAAAAACAAAATACACAAGGCAATCAAACCAACAGACATCCAAACATACGAAACTGAATACACCAAGAAACAAAAACAATATACACATGCCAATGAAACACACAGCCATCCAAACATGTGAAACGAAATACTCAATGAATAAGCAGTGTTGTTGTTGTTGCTTATTAATCAAAGCATGAAAAAATTGTCTTTTTTAAATCCGAGGTTGTCTCGGATTTTTGCTTATATCTCCGTCATTTATGGACCGATTTTGCTGATTTTAAATAGCGATCTTCTCGAAAGCATGTCTAATAGAATTATTGAAGATTCGGATCTCGCCGATATCTGGGGTCCTCTAAAAACTGATTTCAACAGACAGACAGACGGACATGGCTTAATCGACTCCGCTATCTATAAGGATCCAGAATATATATACTTTATAGGGTCGAAAAATTATATTATAGAAATTACAAACGGAATGACAAACTTATATATACCCTTCTCACGAAGGTGAAGGGTATAAAAAGTGCGATTTATGCGGAATGGCGGAATTTTCACACCGAAATCGATGGTAAATCGGTCACAATCTGTGAAAAATAGTTTTTGATATGTTATTCCAAGGCGAATTTCTTGCTTATATAATTTAGGACACGTTTAAGCTTTAAACTATTTTTTTTTTTGTATATCGGCCAAATATTTTTTATAATATAACAAATTAATCCCAGCAAAAAATAATTGATAACATACTTTACAAACACATCTTAATCACATCTAAAAATGCGTTCACATATTTTTCGCTTTTATAAACCAAATGTTTTCTTACAAATGAATACCTTGTTAAAATTGAGGAAAGAGATGTAGAAAAGTTACTACAAATAACATATTCGAAGTACATCTAACTTTGGTGAAAAACCAATGTAATTTACAATGTCAATTGAAAGAATGTGGTTTATTTTTGACATCCACACATCAGATTTTTACTGCTTCTAAAAAAAATAAAATGTATGTAGCTCAATGTTGTCAAAAATGAACAACATCCCTAAAATGAAACTCTGTTGAAAAATTCATAGGTTTTTCAGCCGAATTTGAAGCACTTCGGATTATTAGTTGTGATGGAAATACTATATCTTTTTCTACACTTTTTTGCTGGGTAATGGTAGCGTTGAAAAATATAAAAAGGTACAATAATAATAAAGATTCGGCAAAGGCAAATATTGAACTCTTACTTGTTTTTTTTTTTTTTTTCTTAAAATTTACTATAATAACAGGTGGCAATCAAAACTATTGATACAAGTTTAAAAAATAAATGTCTTGTAATTTGAATGAAATTTTAACCAAGGTAAGTACTACTGTTCAGCTTTATCGGCCAAGAACTGCCGGACTTAAGCCACGTTTCCGCAAACACCGTGATCGGCACCGAAAACGAAATTCCATACATTTGCACCGAAAAAAAATTCGTTTCAGGAACGATTTTTTAATCCGGTGGTTCTGTATTTATGTCCAAGCCAAGAAATTAGGCTACTTTAATAGGGTTAGTCCATAAATCCATTGGGCTAAGTGAAGTAGGGTGGGCTGGACAGTTGAATATGTGAAGGGTATCATGGGGACCCTGTCCACAAGCTGGGCATATATTCGATCAGTAGGCGTTGAGCCTGTTGCTCCATCCCGATCTCAGTTGTGCTAGAGCAACTCTTGTTTTCCGCGGCAGGATCTTCTCTATTTCTGCTATGGGCGGTGGGAGACCTCCAAGAACGACATTTATGAGGTAACCTGAAACCGCGGTATTGATGGCGTCTCTATGAATGTCGTTCAAAGCTGCTGTATACGAATGCCGATCTAAGGGATCCTGAACATAACTTCGTAAGCTCTCTTCGTATACACGAAGGTCCTTCCTGACATGCAGATGAATTAAACGCAGAAGGTGTTGTGTTAAATTTTTCTTAAAATGGTGAAATTGATTGTTACTGCCATTCAACCGTCCCAATTCCATTGAAATAATCCCTAATTTTATTGCGAGTTATCGATTGTGCAAAGCAAATGCTTCATCAGCAAGTATAACATTCGACAAAAGAGTTTCAATGTATGTATAGTACGTTTGGCGGTGGATTATTAAATTGTTCATTATTGTTTTTAGTCCCACTTCGCTTTTCAAATAAATGCCAAACAAATTTGACTGTTCTCCCAGAGTTCGTTATAAACGAGTCTGACTGTAGTTGTATCAATTCAAACAAATTTATTTGTATTTATTTGTTTTAATTTTATTTTTCAATACTATTTATCCAATTCATAAACCTTAAAATACAACTCTGTGTAAAAACAATTTAAAATATTTTATGTAACACCCGGTTATTTGACAGTTCACTCAAAACAGGTGTTTATAGTTTTGTAATCGTAGAAAAAACACAAAATCGAAATTTTTATTAATTTTTAAGAAAAATCATATAATTTTCAAAGAAAATATGGCTTTAACACAAAGATTTTTGAAAGAAATAATAGGCAAAACTGTCAAGGTAAGAATTAAATTGTTGAGTTATTAAAAATAATTACAATTTCTCTAAATTACAGCTGCCGGTTACGGCACGTTTTTCAAGTTTCTTGTCTTCGGAAAAAGTACGTCCCTTGGAAGAATATCCCGAAGTGGAAGTCTTAAAAAATCCACCAGAATGGAAATATGTGGAACGTTTACTACCCAAGAAAGTAGTGCCCAAAATTGAACCAAAGGCAGAATATCCTTCCGGTTGGAAACCCCCATCAGTTGGCTTACACAATATAGATAAAGTGGAATATTTTGTAGCACGTTCCAGAAATCATATGATACCCGTTTACTTAGAAGTCACCTACCGTGGTCAGCGCAGAGTAACAGTGGTTAAACATGTGCAAGGTAATATTTGGCAATTGGAAAAAGAATTGCGCCAATTGGTGGAAAAGGCACGCGATGGAAAATTATGTGCCACACGTGTCAACGAAATGAGTGGACAAGTGCGTATACATGGCGATTATGTGGATATTGTAAGAGAATATTTGAAATCTAAGGGCTATTAGACAATAAAGTGTTATTGTTATTTCATGTTAAATTTTTCCATTAAATCATAAGTTTTTAGTGTTTTATTCAATTAGGAATACACAAAAAAGTGATTTAAACTTAAGAACTAAACAAAAAAAATTAAGATGACTTCAAGTTAGCCTTTCTAAGTGTAATGATAGCAGTTAGATGTTTGAGAGAAAGAAAATTTCATTGTATGGCAATTATGGTCATGTGGCTGTTGAACCCACAGAGCCCACCACAGTTGAACGTTTGAGTGCTTTACGTATAGTTGTCCAGTCTTCTAAAATGTCTTCCTCATGAAGCATATACACAATAAAGGGACCATTAACGGTGACCGCTTTCTTACGGGCCGGCCCTCGGACTTTGCTGTGACGTTTATCGTTGCCCCAGTCATCCCACGATATATCGACATTATGACGATCTTCCTCCAAGCGTCTGATTTTCTCCATAAGATCATCGTAGATTTGATCTAGTGCCAATTGTTTTTCGCTCTGTTGAAAGGAAAAAAATTACATGAGTATTGTTAATTAAAAAGTATAACTTTATTATTTCTAAAAGCAATTAATATTTGAAAAACTATTTTGTGCTATAGTTTTTTTTACTAACATTTATTGCAAAAAATTAATGAATTAATTTATATTTTACAGTCATAAGTCAAAGTCATTTAATAATTGTAGACAATTGTTTAACAATCTACTCCGAATTAATTTTAATTCAATAAAATTATTTCCTTAGGTAGCGAATATTATTTCGAAATGAAATAACTTTTTTAATTGGGATTAAATTTTATTTAAATAACGATTTTTCTTTCTTTTTAAAAAACTGTTCTTAAAACTCGATTTTCGTCGTGGCAAGTAAAAATATAAACTTTCAAATAACTATGGAATTTAATCGACGAGGAAGGGTTACAGAATAGCTCTTAATATGTAAAAAGTCAAACCTATATATGACTTGCTAATTCAATCTCTTTAACGAAAAGCTAACTTTCTTTTAAGCTTTGTTCTTTAAAAAAGTCTATGAAAACCTTAAATCCTTTAAAATTGATGCAATAGACACTCAAAATGCTTTCATTATAATATACAATTCATGCATGTACTTACTACATATACCCAATAAGAATTTCTCTTGACTGAATATACCAAACTTTTTAAATCTAAAGATTTTATAACAAACTTAAAATCTCTTCACTACTTACCTCAAAATTTTGCAGAGCCGCCTGTTCTTCACTTAAAAATTTATGCTCTATATTTTCTAGTCTAAAACGTTTCAGAATCTCGGCCACTTCTATGCGATTCTTATAGACTTTGTCCAATTCCTTCAAAGGCTGTAAATACTCTTCGGAACGGCCATTGCGCACTTCGGCAGATTGACGTTCTATTTGATTAATACGTTCCGTATAATACTGCTCACGCAGTTGACTAAATTGTTTTTCCAAATGATCTGAAAGAAAAGGCATAACATGTACAAATAACGTTTCACATCTATCGAACCACCTACCCAAAATGTCTAAACATTCATTCCGTCGTCTTTCGATTTCATCGGCATCCATTTCCGACGAATCATCGGAATCAATTTCATTTGCCTCCTCATCGCTGGACTCATGACCCTGACTAGAGTTGGAATGTTCTGATTCGCCACCTGATACGTCACCTTCTGCATCAGATTCACCACCATTTTTGACGGGCATTGTGTTAAACTTTTTTATTGTTTTTTCTTTCTAAACCAAAGAGTGTTTGGTTTTTGGTTGTTTTTAGGCAAAATTTAGTTTTAAATGGATTTTAATGCAGATATTTTTAATTAAATAAATACTTTTTTTCGTCCAAACAATATTTTTTCTTTTCTTTTGCTTTTTCTTTCTGTAAATGTCAAAAAATAAAAAGTACGTATGTTACCAAAACAGTGAGAATGAGTAGGAAAGTGAAACACTACGTACAGGGTGTATCATAAAACGTATATATTTGCCGAAAGTTTGACAAGCAGATGGCGCTGTTAATACAGCTTATTATAATAAGCAGTGTTACCAGAAATATTTTATATTATGTCCCTAATCTTAAGCTAGAAGTCCCCGAAAAATCACAATTTTTAAATTGAAATCCCCATATTGTTCCCGATTAAACATTATGATTGAATATGTCTCAGCGAGATATGTCTCACAAACTGCGTCATCTGGTAGTCAGTGTAAAATTAAACTAATAAAAAGTGTCTTTGATAACCGTATATTTAATTTTGTAATGAAACATAGATGGCGCAATATAACACCATTGTTAAAAAATAAATTCTTCGAAGAGAGAGCGCTGTTGTGCACAGAAAATTCGTAAAGCTGTGCACCAGTGTTGCCAGAAAAATTTTGACTTATGTCCCCAATCTTAAGCTTGAAGTCCCCAAATAATTCCCATTTTTAAATTGAAATCCCCATAGTTTTCCCCAATTTCTTTCATGAAAAACTGACATGTTCGTCACAAGTATTCTCCATTGATAGGCACTGCACAGTGGGGTCTCCCCGAACAAATCTTGGCATTAACTAAACTACAAAGTTTTGATGCAAGTGATTGGTAGCGTTAGAAAGGGGAGAGCTTCTAGATTTGAAATATTAAAAAAGAACTTTGAACTTAGTGCAAATTTTCGCAAAAAATACACTATGTATTTTCATATTTTTTGGATCATTAGCGCTAAAAATTACTAATAATCCCAGCAAATACTTGGTAATGACTTTCAGTTGTAACCACTTACCTATTAACATAGTTTTCAATGACTACTATATATAGTCCTGTTTACATAGAAGTAGTCTAATAACGTCTTATTAATAATGTGATATATAACTACTTTTTAATTCATTTGTCATCTATAGGAGCTGTATAAATTTGTTCATACAATTTAAATTGACTTATTTTTCTAATTACTTGTAAGCGATTGTGGTAAGTACTTGCACTAATAACACCATTTAGTCAAGTACAAAATCTCTGTGAATTTTTATTTAATTTTTCTTTCAAAAAAGCTATATATATGGTAAAAACGTATGAAAAAGTCTTTGAAATGTTGAGTGAAATCAATTTTAGTTACTCGTTAACTATTGGAGAATTATTTAAATCAATTAATTTGGTGTTTAATAATTCGATTTTTTTAAATAAAATACAAATGTTTTAATATTTTTGTTTTATGGAGTGTTAGAAAAATAAATAAAAAATGCCATAGAGGCAAAAAATATAGATGTGGTGATATTACGAACACATTATAGTATCTTACATATGTATATGGTTGCCGAGGGGCCATCAGCGGCCAAATAGTACTTTTTCTCCTTTAAAAATGGCAAAAAAACATAAATATATATATGAAAAGTGGCATTTTAATAAGTAATGAATAATTGAATCCTATTGTGTAATGGTTATTTAAAATATAATTTTTCATACAAAACAACATTATATTTGGACTGAAAATTAAAATTTTAAGAAAATTTATGGAATGGTAGTTTTTTATATAAAAAAGGTAAAGGTATTAATTAAAAAAAAAACAATATGAAAAATTATATATAAAAAACCTAAACTTTGATGCACAACCTAAAGGCCTACAAAAGGAAAATCGAAAAACTAATTATAGCGTTATATAGAACAAAGTCTTGGCTTTTAAGATACGCTATATTTTTTGCAAAAAAATAATTTTTAAATATTGACTTTTGGCCAAGTTTACTTAAAGGAGACCCCAATTAAAAATGGGCAGTATCGGACTTCGATTTTTACATAGCCCTCACACATAAATTAATTATGAAGCAATCGTGGTAAAATTTTACACAAGTAAGGTTTATGTACACAGAAAAAAATAATACATAGCTGGAATGAATTTTGTAATAAATAGTATGAATCGAACATGACTTTTTTCCCAAACCATTTTCATTCAGAATATTAAAAGTTCATAAAATGTATGAATTTCAACATGACAGAATTTTTTTTGATTTTACTTATTTTCTATGATATTCTTAAAAAATTGCAAAAAAAGTCCATTATCTACAAATCTGTTTCCATATCTTGTAAATAGTGATCCTATATTAGCAAATTTTGTATGATAATTAAATATAAATGTTGAAAAACAAAATCTGAAATAAGAAAACATCAGCAAACATAGTTAAACATCCATTCTTCATCAAATCCCGCAAATTACGTGCACATCCCATCGATTTCAATCTAAAAATCATAAAGAAATAAAAAATTTTCCAAAGAAAATTTCAGACATTTTTTAACAAATAGAAAAATAAAAATTAAATTTGAAATATTTTAAGTCAAGGCTTCTAGATTATGTTTGAAAAAATAAAAATGAAAAAATTCATACCATTTAGGAACTTATTCTTAAATATTATTAACTTTTGTCAATGAAAGCAGTTCATAATATTTATGCTGAAACTTTTTTCTGTGTACCAAGAAATTATGCTGTTAGAATGGTAATCATTGGGCCACAGTTAGCCCCCATCAGGGTTGGCAAAGTTGGCACAATTGTACTTTTTGGTACAATTCGATGCTTAAAAGTACAATGGTAGTACACCAATCACTCATCTGAGATTTTGTCAGCATCTCTGCTAAAAGTTGAAATTTTCGAAAAATTTAGCAGACTCTTCTAATACAATAAAACTATATATTTTAATTTTTGCTAATTGATATGAGTTCCTTTTTGTATGAAAAAAATAATAAATTAGCAAAATTATAAAATTATTGTTTTTGAAAGTAGTATGAGTCCATTCAAATGTGAAAAAATCTAGTATTTCCGCAATATCTATTAAAGTTTTATGCAATATAAAAATTTTTATTGCATTTTAGACCAAATACATGTAAAATAGCTTTACACAGATCAGACTAATTTTCTATGGAAAATTTTATGCTGAATATCTTGGGAGCAGATATAACATCCCTCACGCACACTGATTGGAACATTTTAAAGAACTCCATCTAGAAACAGAGTTTCTGTACTTCGGATAAGGAGAGCTCAACAGGTACTATAGTGACCTAAGAGTATTTCTTAGGATTTGATGTATTATACATCCTCCTCTCAACCTAACCTATGTATAGCTTGAAATGTTTTTGTTTCGATTAAGGACACTCCCACTTTAATATTAATTTAGTAAAATAATTATGATTTGGTACAATTAGAAGCAATAATGTACTATTTTTCACGCAATTTTGTAAAATTTTAAAATGTAATTTGCTATCCCTGGCCCCCATATAAATCCCTTCAGAAAATAACTTTAACCCTTTATAGTCCAAGAGCTGAAATCTTTTTGATTTTTTGGGACATGATAGAATTCGGTAAATAATAAAATACATTTTACTCAGAAATTTAAAATTTTTTGTTATTAGCGTTTTATTAATGATTTTTTGATTGATTTTAAAATCGATTTTTATGATACAAGAAATTTTAAATTGTTTATTTTTTTTAATTAATAATAAATTTACACAAAATTGTCTACAAAATCTTATAAAAACAACGAAACTTTTTTTCCCCTTTTATAAAATTTTTAAAAATCGAAATTATCTTACCAATTTAGCTTGAACACAAAATTTAACTTTTTATCAAAACTGAAAATTCAATTTAGCATAAGTGAATAGTTTTGCCACATATCATGTTAAAATACATACATACAAAACAGTTAAGTGGAATCTCATGAATGTGCTTCACTAATTTGATTCGAAAATAAGTGCCTAGGACCTATTTTAGAGTCAATTTTTGGGTTTGTTACAGAAATGTTACACGCTATAAAGGCTTAAGTTCATGATTGGCTTCAAAAAGCCTGTATAAGAACGAAATTCTACACAAACAATTGTTATATGAATCAAAATCTCTCTACCAAATTTCATGTGGGTCAGTCCATAATTGACCGAACACCCCATATTACCTCTCTTACAACAAATCGGTTTACTGTAGTGAATCGTTCAAAAATTAATGTACTATAAGATTTAACAAAAATGATATGAAACTAATAACTCTTTCAAATTCTGTAAACCTCGGTACATAATTAATGGACTTATTCCGAAAATCTCCCTGATGTTCATATTAATATCAATATATCGACACCCTATATTCAAAAAGTGCTGGTATAAATTTGGGATCAAAATATTAACTTTTGTGCTTTTTGTATCTGTTTTGTCTACTACACAAAGTAGAATATTTTTTAAGAAAATAAGTGCTATCTCCCATAGTAATTTTACAACATTTTTTGAAAAATTAATTTTATTAAATATTTATCTCCGCTATTATAAAATATGACATACTGAACAGGAATCTGTTTAATAAATTGGAATTCAATATTTAGTTTCGGAAATATAGTAATTTTTATTTTACCAATAAATGTTTCAATTTTAAAATTTTCCTTTGAACAAAATGTGCTAACCAAAGATAAATCCTTGAAAAACACAAAATGTATTAATTTGTATATAATTATAAATTGGTAAGATTATTATAAACATATTATGGAAAGAATGTTATTAATTTGTTCAACATTATACAAATTAAACAGTTTTTTTCCTCTCCTGAAAACTAGACATTTTTGAATTAGCACTTTTTAAATGTAGTGTCTCGATATGTGTAATTTTAAAAATTTTCGAACATGATTCTCTGATTTCGATGAAATTTGGTATACACATTTTTTGTATCAATACAAAATTAAAAGTTTTCCAAAATTTTCAAATTCGTTACGGTTTAGAGGTTGAAAATCCACATTTTTTCTCAAAGGCATAAAATTTAGTATCGTATATTTTCTAAACTACTTTTCCGATTTTATAATTGTTGTATCTTCCATTTTTACTACACTAAAATATACAACATATACAAACAACAGAATGGGACCATGAGGGGATCTCTAGAAAGTTAACTTTCATTTCTATA